AATGCGCGATGCGTTCACAGATTAGCTGAGCAATTCGGTCACCCTTCTTTACCTGAAGCGGAAAATCCTATGCTAATAAACTGAGTTCCTTTTCATAAAATAGAATACCTGAAAATCAGTTGAGCCAAAGTTGAAAAGCAAAACTTTCAGTTCGCCACGGTAATCGCTATCAACAACTCCCGCACCAACGTCTATGAAGTTCTTCGCAGCAAGACCGGAACGAGGTGCGACTCGTCCATAATATCCAATAGGAAGTTCCACTTGTAATCCAGTGGAAACGCACATCTTACCTAAATCAGGAACGATAAGCGAATATGGAAAACGTTAAAAAGAAAGAATTTTCTAATGCAACTAGGAAGCGTAGGGGCGGTTTGGGATGTAATACACAGCGAGGGTTTGGCATCTCAATGGACTTCTAACAAGCAGTTTTTTCCATCAAATTCTATTTTCACTCTACCCAATGACTTTCTCAAAAAAAAAAGAATGTAAGCTCAAAATCTACACTAAAATCTTTTGTCAACAAAAAGCCATACCCAACCTCCACTTCAACGAAATATCCATTTTTTGCCAAAAAAGTTTATGAACTCAATGCGAAAGCTTACCGTGTGCTGGAACTGTGCAGTCTTCAGCACTGTGAAGATCAGCGCCAGCAGCAGCAAGAGAACCGTAGGCTGGTGTTTGAGCATCAGGATTCAGCTTTACGAAACGAATGGTAAGACGCTAAAAGGGCTCTGATAAAATGAATGTAACATCAAAACAAGAATACTACTTACCTGCTCCATCTGCTCATCAAATTTAGGTTTTTTGCATTCGCTACCATCGCCAGAGGCACGGATATTTTCGTTTTGCACAGTCAAAGTTGCCATTATCTTTTGTTGATTACTAGAACGAAACAGTAGAGAATATCTGGCATTTTTGAGAATGAACATCTGTGAGAGAAAAACGTTAACTAAGAGCAATGAGAGAAGCATGAGAAGAACGACGAAGTGAAAACGCAAGATCAAGGATAAACAACGGTAGATGTGTTATCAAGCGAAATCAAAAAGAGAATCCGGATTTTCGCGCTTGATTCAATTTTTCCCTCGTTTGGCGCGCCCGATACTGGAGCGCGTAATCTGCAATAGGTCATTGATTCTCACCACACTTCATTTTGATCGTTTCTTCGAGAAGATTGGCTTCGGCGATTATACGGACAGCTTTTGTAACAAAACAACTAACAAATCGCAAGTAAATCAACCGTTTTCATTCGCGCTTCGTGCCCCCTTTTTAAGGTAAACATGCTAATCATAAGGTGATTAAGGACAAAAAGATGCTTACAAATTGTATATATCAAAATTGGAGGACGATCGTAGGACATACCAACAAGCCAAGCATGCTGCGAAAGTCTTCGTAAAGAAGGCAAAGCAGGTGTACATGAGACAACTGTTAGAGATTGGAATCTCGCGAGGAAGAACGTGAGATATACAGGATAGCAAGAAGAAAAGCGGAGTCACAAAAGATGTAGAGCACTTCCTCCATATCAAAGACAAACTTCCTAGAACGCTAAGGAGAGCGAGACATCACGGAAAGATGTAGAACACTTAAGAGGTG